TCCCTCTCCCACTCCCCCTGCTTGTGTTCCCTCTCTCGCTGTGTCTCTCTCTGTCAAATAAATAAATAAAATCTTTAAAAAAAAAAAAGAATTTGTACTGGCCCCTCAGTTTTTCCATCAAGGAAAAATGACCCAGGGTGTACTCCCATCTCCTTCCCCTGCACCCACTTCCTCCTCCTCTGGGGTCCACAGGCCCAGCGGCTGGTGCCAGGCTCTAACACGTCACAGCCAGCAGCAACACCCCACAACACGACGTGTATGCGTGCTCGGGCAGCCTCTGAGCTGCTCCTGTCCCTGGGGCGTGGCTTTGCAGCTGACGCCCGTGTGAGGCCATGAGCTTCTGGATGATGCTGGTGGCCTCTGGGGTAAGTGAGGGCTCACTCTGGCTGGGGCTGGGTCATGGGCTTCCGGGCAGGGTGGGGGGCCCGTGTTGGAGGAACCGGGCCCTGGCTCTTGCCAGGCCTGAGCAGCTGGGCCCTACCATGAGGGCATCGATGAGCTCATCGTCATGTCGGCCTTTCTCCACCAGGGTCCCCATCTGACTCCTGAGGGTCTTCACTTCGCTTGACAGCACCTTATTCCGGGACTTCATGCCCTCCAACTTCTTTTTCAGTTCTTCAAGCTCTTTCTGGAGGGCATCCCGCTCACCCATGAGTTTCTGTAATCAGAAAATATAGTCTTGGGCAGTGGAGCTGAATGGGTCCCGGGCTCCCACTCACAGGTGAGGCCCGGTGACAGGAGGGGACTTCTGAAGGCCGGAGAGCAAGGCAGCTCCCAGCCCCCGCCTCTCAGGGGTGTCAGGTGGGGCCCTGCCCTTGCACGTGACAGATGTCACTAAGAGATGATAGCACTCCTCCATCAGCCCGAGAACACAGGCATCCAGGCAGCTGCCCTTGCTCTGCCAGGGTCAGAGACGAGAGGAGCCACACTTGCCAACTGTGAGTGTGTCCTCCAGAGAGCATGGCTATCCCCACCTCTCAATCCCGGCCTGAGCTGGGGAAAGAGCAAAGCCATGCTCTCATGAGCAGCACTAGGTCTAGGGTTCAAACAGAAGTGGCTCACCCCACCAGGAGCCAGAATGAGAGGGAGGTGCCACCCCGCTGCGTCGCCTCACTTCCTCCATGCATGTCCAGCACGTCAGCCCAGACTGCGCCACACTCGGGTCAGCTACTAACCGGCAACTCAAGTGCTGGGCATGCCTTCAGAGACTCTCTCCTTCCTTCCTCCCTTCCTCCCTTCCTCCCTTCCT